CGTCTATGGCCTGCATTAGGCTGCTTTCACACTGAGGAGTTTTCGAAGCGTTTTTACGTTAAAAAAAAAAAAAAAAACCCAAAAAAAAACAAAAACACCTGTAAAGCTCAAGAAAACGCCTCAGAAACGCCTCTTCCCATTGAAATGAATGGTAACCACCTCAAAAACGCTGAAAACCGTTCCAAAAACGCACCGCACATGTAGGAAAGTCTGGCTGTTTCAGCTGTCAGCGGGATTCCCCGCTGACAGAATTGCCAGCAATTAAAAAATAATTAAAAAACGGCATGATGTCCCTCCCCATCCCCCATCCATACCAAGCCCTTTGAGTCTGGTTTGGATTTTGAGGGGAACCCCTACACTGGGGAGTTTTTGAAGCGCTTTTGTGTTTAAAAAAAAAAAAAGCGCCTGAAAAGCTCAAGAAAAATGCTTCCCTATGTATGTGTATGTATGTCTTCACACGGGGGCGTTGCACTTCCGTTGCAGTGTAAAAACTCTTGCTTGTAACTATCACAAGGTGGTACTTGGTTCCATCCCGCCTGGCGCACCTTCACCCACCAGCCTCTGGCAACTGTTTCTGAGGATGCCTTGACGTGGAAGATGTCCTCCATACATGGTGGAGCTGTCCTATGCTTTCTCGGTTCTGGACAAAGGTACTTAAGCTCTTACACTTACCTGTCCCTTCCCAAGAGACCCGTGGCATGTCCTATCTACACTTGAGACCCCCTGGCTTCACCAATTACCAATTTAAACTGGCTACCTATGTATTACTGGTGGCGAAACAAACCATAGTGAAAGCTTGGAAACAACAGTTCATACCCTTTTACAGACGTTCACCGCCGCCTAGATTTTTTCTCATCAATGAAAAGCTTTCCAGTATTTTTTTCGATACTCATGAGAATGAGAAATTCCGTAAAATATGGACTCCGTGGATCCGACATGCCCATCCTTCTATGTCAACAGCCAGTTTTACATCGCTATAAATACAGAGACCCTACGGCTCGGGCTTGGGTGCTTCTGACATCCTCCTCATGTTTCTTTCTCTTTTAATTCTCATTTGCCCTCCTTTTTGTTTTGTGTTTTTCTCTTGGCTCTCTCATAGGGACGATATACCGTTTGTCCTTATATATTCCTTTCTTTGATCCTTAGCTCAGTGTATATTATACAGATGTATCTCCCTCACCAACGCCTAATCTTGTGTTGTTGGGTATGGTTATCCTTCTGTTATCCATATTGTTTCATTGCTATGCTAGAAGGAGGAGGAGCTGTACGCTGTGATGTCACGCCGCCAGAGCCTCACGAAGGTCCGACGGCCATCTTCGAGAGTGGCTGGTCAGTTCCACTATTTTAAACTGTGTTTTTTTTGCCACTATTTCCACGTGGATGATGTACTACTTTTATATCTAAATAAATCTGATAAATTACTACACTATGAGCACCTTCTTTTTTGGCTCTCTATTGAGCTAAACGATTTCCAGGACTCCCGTTGGATAACGTTGCAGAGCAGTCTCAGATCCAGAGGAGGGAGTCTCTTCTCATGCTGTCTGTCTGGTCCATTTAAAGGGGGCTTCCTGCAGATCCTTGGTCAATATATGATTCAACACATTGCGCTTTTACTTTGCGCATCTGGTGAGTGCGCATTTTTATCAATTCCATGCACGGATTAAAGTCACATGGAATAATCTGATACCACTTGTGCTACAGGATTCGTGTGCAGCACAATTTTCTGACCGGTGTTTCAGACCCTCACCATCATATGAACACTTTCTTTGTTTTATGAGTTTCACAGCCACACTTGTTTATTGCGCTTATTACAGCGCTTCTTTCACTCCCGTGTTATCCTTGTATTTAATATCTTCATATTAATAATAGTTTGAGTATTGCACTTTTATATATTAATTTTTTCAGCGCTGCACCAATTTTTGTTTCTGATTTTCATATGTTCTGTAATGCCAATTATCTTGACGTTTGTTATGGTTTTCAGCTTTATGCACAACCGCATTCGATTTGTCAGTCATTGATTTCATACTTGTATACATGACTGCAGTTGCCACTGTACCTTCTAAAAACAAAATAAAATCTATTGAGAGGAAAACTCTTGCTTGCAACATCTCTAGAACATGTTTGTTCAATTAAAAAAGATGCACCTAAAATGCCTTTTCCCATTGAAATCAATGGAAAACGCCTAAAAGAAAAACGCACCTGAGAAGCGTTTTTGATACAGTTTTTAAGTTACATGTCCTTTAAAAAATGCCCCAAAAATGCGGCAAAAGCGCATATTCGAATGAGTGTGAAAGTAGCTTTACAGTTAATTTTCCTTACAAAACAGAAACCACCTCAGTAGAAAAGCCTGTGCCGGACCAGCATCCTGTAAAGAAGGATCTTTGCTCTTTAGAAACAGTGGTTTCACTGCTGAAGTTCAACACACCCCTTGCTGATTCAGAACTATAGCTCTCTAATCAGCAAAGCTCACTATTCTGGGTATTCCAGTGAATTAACATGAGGAGATGCAAAGAGAAGATTCCTCCATGATTATCCAGTCCTGTGTTTATGATTATAGGGATTTTATTCATTATCTTTTGAGTGGGTGGTAAGCTAAATCATTCCACTCTTGAAGAGCTATGGGTGCCGTTGCTATCCAGTATTTCTGGGTGTGTTGGCCAGCATGTCCTCCACTGGGTGTTGTGGTTCCTCCTGCAGACCACTATATCTCTACTATGTTCTGTAGTGATGTAGAGGACAGATAGAGGAATACAGCCGAGGACATGCTAACTGACACACCAAGATATCAGCAATGCCTGTAGCTCGTCAAAAATAGATTTAACTACTGAAAAATTAAAGTGGTTTTAACCACTTCCTGTCCAGACAGTTTTACCCCCCTTCCTGTCCAGGGCAATTTTCAGCTTTCAGCGCTATCACACTTTGAATGACAATTGCGCTGTCATGCAACACTGTACCCATATGAATTTTTTACCATTTTTTTGTGACAGATAAAGCTTTATTTTGGTGGTATTTATTCACCGCTGGGATTTTTATTTTTTTGCTATGTAAATGAAAATGTCCACAAATTTTGAAAAAAAAAGTGTTTTTCTTATAAAATATTGCAAATAAATAATCGTTCATCATAAATCTTGGCCGAAATATATTCAGTTATCTTTTCAGTAAAAAAAAAAATAAGCCAAATTAGTTTATAACCAAAAATTATAATTTTTAAACATTTTTTTTACATTTTTATTTTATTTTTTATATTATTATTTGTTTGTTTTTTTTTTACATACTGTCACCCTAGCAGTACAGTGTCACCATGGTCACTGTACTACTTGTGGGGGGTGATGGAGTTTTTTTTTTTTTTTTTTGTACAGTGATTGCTTTTACACCCATATAGGATGTAAAAGCAATCATTTCTCTTTCTCTCTGTGTGCATTCTTGCAGCCATTAAGAAATACTGAGTGAGCTGTGATTGGTCACAGCTTGTCACATGGTACAAGGCTGTTGTGAATAGCCTTGTACCATGTGACCTCTGTGATCATTCACAGATTTCACACGTAGTAAGCAATGATGTCACAAGTGACATCTTGCTTACTACTTTGCATGTGATCACTGATTGGCCAGAGGACCCGTTCACGATGATCGGTGTTTCACTGTGTCCAGAGGTCACAGCAGTTCCGACGATAGTGGTGTTTCACTGTGTCCCAGGGGACGCAGCAGTTAGATCGGGTGCCGTTTATGAACGGCAACCTGCCCCTGGAGTGCCACCGTCCTGCCGTTTGTAAACAGCAGGCGGACGGCAAGTGGTTAAACACTAAAGGTTTTTTACCTTAATCCAGACCCTGATCTTCAATCCAGCGCTGTTCACTGCTGCAGGTCTTCTCTCCCCTCTTCCTGGTCTCACAGGCTTTGGTGAAAGCAGAGGGAGCCATTGGCTCCTGCTGTTGTCAGTCAAATTCAGTAATGATGGAGTGGGGGGGCGGGGCTGAGCTGCACTGTGGACATCAGAATTTAGGTGAAATCTGTACTTTTGTATGCTCCTGACCACTGGCCATACATACTTCAATAAATTATTGATTTCTTTTCCGACTGATCCCTTCTGATAGGAATGATCGATCCATAGTCGACAACCTATTTGATCGATATGCCATACACAGGGGAAGTGGATTTGACTGAAAGTTAAGATGTGATCATAACTTCTGATGTTAAGTTATCGATCGCATCACTGTTTCCACCATGTAATCTCATAATGGTGTGAAATTTGATCATACTCATGAACGTCTTGCTGCTGCCAATCTATACGAGTGATCAATTTTCCATCCTGGCTGATTGACTCAGTTTCATTGAATCTTGTCTAAATTAAGTGTAAATCATTTGGAAGTGAAATTATGGGGTTTGCAAATTAGATCGTTTTGATTGAATTTCACATTGAGCGAATTATAAAAGCGTAGTGTCCATGGCCATCATTACTCTAATCAATAAATACTCCCTATTCCCACCTCATGGTTTACATGGTTGGTCTGGTTGAAAAAAGACACAAGTCCATCTAGTTCACTGAACTCACATGGTGACTGGCCCATCACCCAACAAGCACTACACCATAAGAAGTAGATGTTGCGGATTCTTCCTTACCCAGAGGTATTGGGTATTTGATGATAGATTGGGTCAGCAGAAAAGCTAGTGTAAAAGTCTTGTGCCTTCCTCAAAGGAAAACATTTCTTTTTGCTGACTGTGTCCAATTTGGGAGATTCATCTTCATTTCCTGTCTCATGGGCAAAGCAGGAAGTGAGAGGAGATCTCTCCAAGACAGTTGTTACTGAAATTAGTGTCCCCATTGGAAGATTTACCCTGTTACTGTTCCATTGACAACTACAAATTTTAGATTTTCTCTTATTTTCAGTCCCAGAGACAATGGGTCACCAGGACAAAGGTTAAACGAGGTTATTTATTTTTGTCAGTCCTTTTTTCTTGTAGAAGTATCATTTGTTGTAATTCCCTGTCAATGTCTCTATTAGGAGTCTCCTCAGTGGGATGGATATTGATCTTGGGCCCATGGATCTTACAGACTGGGACCACAGACTTCCTCCACCAGCTTCCAAAAAGGTGGTAGAAAATTTGCCAAAAGTCACTGTGACAGCAAAGCAGGCCGGTAAGAACCAGAATTCTGTTTAAAGAGTACCTGTTGCTTACAATCAATTTTCTGGCTAATTCATAACTTCCTGATTTATACCTGTCAGGTACAAGCTTGGGAGGCAGCCAGTTTGCAGACTTGTCAACAGCACTGAGAAACCACTTGTATTTAATCATTTGACCTCCGGAAAGGTTTTACCCTCTTCATGGCCCGGGCATTCTTTGTTATCCAGCACTGCGTTACTTTAACTGGCAATTGCATGGTCATGCAGCGCTGTAACCAGATTAAATTTATATTATTTTTTTCACATAAATAGAGCTTTCTTTTGGTGGTATTTGATCACCACTGGGTTTTTTTTAATTATATAAAACAAAAAAAGACAACATTTTTGGGGGAAAAAAAAATTTCTATTTTCTGTTATAAAACATGTCCCAAAAAAATTAAAAACATTACATTTGTTCATAAGTTTATGCCAAAAGGAATTCTGCTGCATGTCTTTGGTAAAAAAAAAAAAAAAATCCCAATAATATTAATTGGTTTGTGTAAAAGTTTTTTTTTCAGGGAGAAGAAACAGCCAGATCATTGTTCACAGTATACAGAGTTCTGTGTTTGTGTGATTTGGATACAGTCGATCAGCTGATTTCAGCCAAAATCACTGGCTGATATCATCTGCTAAACTTGTGCTGTGTCCAGACACAGCATGGGTCGGCAGGGGGCGCGTGCATTCAGTCACATGCAAGTGATTGTACCTGACACCCGCTCGCAGTAAATATACTGTGAGCGGTCAGCAAGTGGTTAAAATTGTTTCACCCTCTAAAGCCTAGCACAAAGAATATAAAAAAAGTAATCCGTGCAGAAACATCCACCCTCCTGCTGGGGTTAAATACTTGTAATGTGTAGGGTGCATGGGCTTCTGTCGAATGGTCATGCTGGAAAACCAACATCTCACGTCCGATCAAATGGCTGCAAGCTCTGATCAGTGTGTTCTGTTGGGGCGACGGAGTCCCCCTGTTAGAATACAGTAGCACAGTGGGGGAGATCGTCGCAGCAACATCGCTTGTGTTGGTACGGCGATCTGTCAGGTTTTTTTTTGTTCAGTTTGCTGGGTTGTGTGTGTACCCAGCTTAAGGTAAGAATTTCCTCCATTTCTGTGGAACCCTGGACATAATGAGCATTTAACCCTTGCAGTGCAGGGGGGGTCCTGATTTGAGGGTAACTTTAAAAAAAAAATTCCCAGACTTGGGCATAAAATAGCAGCCTATGTTGTGTATCAATGACAGCTGCACTTTGAGGAAACCAAGGGAAAAAGTAGGAGGATGGATCCAGTAATGTGTTCATGTTCCTTACAGATGCTGCCCTCAAATGTCCAGTGTGCTTGTTGGAGTTCGAGGAGGGAGAAACAGTGCGGCAGTTGCCTTGTGAACACCTTTTTCATTCCGCCTGCATTCTGCCATGGCTAGGGAAGGTAAGAGAACCTGTTTCCATATGTGTGTGGGTTATGGAGATATATGTTATATTCTACTGATTTGTCCACTCTCTGTCTACAGACTAATTCCTGCCCCCTCTGCAGAGATGAGCTACCCACTGACAGCCCAGACTACGAGGAATACAAACAGGAAAAGGTAACACATACATCAATTCCAGGAAGGTAGCTGGTGCCTACAGAGATCATAGATTATATGCTATGCGTCAAGTACCTTGAAATATATTCCTTATAGGATAAGTTCACCCCGAAGTTTTTTGTTTTTTTTTTCACATGCTTTAAATAGAATAGGGAAAAGTTATCGTTCTGTCAGGTTTTTATTTCTAAGTGCAATAAGTCAAGGAGAGCACCAAATGAAAAAAAAATTTCTGTTCAGCTGGTTACAACAAGCAGGGCAACAGCCATCCAACACAATTTGATGACCCTAACTTCTACTGTGCACACCAACGCTGACTGTTGTTTATAACATCCTCTGCCTGCAGATCAGTATGCTTAGGAGTACTTTTGAGTCCATTTAAAGTGGTAGTAAACTGCAAAAAATAAATCTAAAAAATCTTTTCCCTGTAAGATAAGAGCAAAATGTGCTACTTGTGCATACTAGCACATTATGAAGGACTCACTGAAAATAAACCCTCCAGTGGAGTGTTGTCACGGATCCCCGAGAGACTTCTATGTTCCCCTGGTCTTTCTTCCAGGTTCGCAACTGTGGCCGCTTGACTGGCCTAGACGTGATGACGTCACTCCTTCTCATGCGCGCGGGGGAGTTTTGGCCACAGCACGGCTCTCTCAATGGACAGCACACCGTCCATGGAGAGTGCAGTGCACATGCCCCGGTGAAATCAGCGCTGCAAAAGTAAATATTTCATAAATGGAGCATGTTTAGGAAATGTTTACAGTACCTACAGGTAAGCCTATTAACTACTTCCCTACCGGGCACTTTTACCCCCTTCCTGCCCAGGCCTATTTTCAGCTTTCAGCGCTGTCACACTTTGAATGACAATTGTGCGGTCATGCAACACTGTACTCATATGAAATTTTTATCATTTTTTTGTGACAGATAGAGCTGTCTTTTGGTGGTATTTAATCAACTCTGGGTTTTTTATTTTTTGCTAAACAAACTAAAAAAGACTGAAAATTGTGGAAAAAAAGTGTTTTTTTAGTTTCTGTTATAAAATTTTGCAAATAAGTAATTTTTTTCCTTCACTGATGTACGCTAATGAGGCTGCACTGATGGGTATTGATGAGGAGGCATTGATGGGCACTGAAAGGCAGCACTCATATATGGCATTGACTGGAACTGTTAGGCGGCCCTGACGGGCACTGATTGGCGGCACTGATAGGTGGCAGTGATAGTTGGTACTGAAAGGCAGCTCAGATGGGCACTGATATGTGAGACTGATGGGCACTGATAGGTGGCACTGATGGGGCTACACTGATCATCAGTGCCCTGATGATAGGTGTAGATGTCCCCTCTGAGGAGTGCCGCTTACCGACTCTCCTCTCCTCACAAGCTATCAGCGTGAGGAGAAGACTGCCGATAACAGACATTTCCTTGTTTACATGCGATCAGCTGTGATTGGACACAGATGATCACATGACAGAGCCGACATCATCGACTCTTTCTGCTGATTGGTGATCCACTCTGTCCCATGTTGCACAGTTATGTTCCACCTTAAATAAGAAAACATAACATGTTTCAAAGGTGAACTTATCCTTTAACCTCAATTAAATGTGGGTGGAGTATTTTGTAGATTTACAGACGATAACAACATTTTTTTAGTTTAGTTCACATAAAGTGACAGGGACACAGCATTTCTGGGAAAAACAGGTAATTTCTGGACTTGCCAAAAATATTCTTAGCTTAAAAAGTTAAAACTAAGGCACCACTACATTTAAGGACTGGTAAGCTGCAATAAATATTAAAATTTTTGTTCTTGGGCTTGGATTTCCTTTAAAGTAGAACTATAAGCAATTTTATTTTCTCATTTTGGATAGAGCAAGGGAGAGAGTTTTTTTTTTTTTTTTCTAGATTTATTTTTCTCCATCTGTGTCCAATTATGGAGATTTCCCTTCACTTCCTGTCCCATAGTTAAACAGGAAGTAAAAGGAAATCTCCACAAATTAAGGAAATTTCTTGGGGCCACGCAGGTCATTAGAACTAGTGGCCTCATTGGAAGATTTCCCTTCTATTACTTTCCTCGGGACAACCCAAAATTTGGGATTTTATTTTATTTTCAATAACGGTAAACAAGACAAATAGAGAGGGTGAATCTCCCTAACGGGGGCACTGACAGCATTAAAAACTGACAAGTTTTCTAATCTCTTTGCACTCTATCCAAAACAAAAAAAAAGTTAAAGTAGTTACAAGTTATACGTTTAAGCTTTTTTAAAAAAATGTTCTCACATTATGTCTTGCAGGCAAGAAGGAAGCAGAAGGAACACAGGCTAGAGTACCTGCATGATGCCATGTATACGTGACCCGGCCTTCTCTACCTCTTTGTGGGATCTTGGCACACTTACAAGCAGTCTGAGCCCTCAACTGGAATAAGCTGCATTTGATATACCGCCGGGATAGAAGTGCAGTCACCAGTTTAAAAAAGGCATATTGTTTTTATATGTGAAGTTTTTTTTTTCTTAACTATTCATGGTAATACAAGATCTCTGTAAATTAAAACTTAGTTTAATGTGTGTTGACACAATGGGGGAGATTTACTAAAACCGGTGCACTCAGATTCTGGTGCAGCTCTGCATGGTAGCCAATCAACTTCTAAATTCTGCTTGTTCAGTTAATCTTTGGCAATAAAACCTGGAAGCTGATTGGTTTCTGTGCAGAGCTGCACCAGATTTTGAACTTTCCAGTTTTAGTAAATAACCCCCCAGTATGTTTAATTAAACCAATATACCATTCCAGAACCTTTCAGATTGTAATTTTGTTCAAATTGATGAGCAATAAAACTATACAAGGCCCTAAAAGTTTTGTCAGGTGTGCTAGCAATTTGATGTGGATATTTATTGAGAACTGGTCATATTTATTTTTATCAAAGTGTCCAGTGGGTTAAAGGAAGAAAAATTCCCTATCTGAAAAAGAGAAATTAAAGCTTATTTATTGTGCCTTGTGGTAGCTATGAGTATCTTTGTAATAGTAAGAGAGGATAAAAGGTAAGCTAAAGCAAAAATATATTATAACCATAAATGTTGACACAAGTCTTCTTTATTGAACTGTCCATTCATTCACCCAGGTAAAAACATTGTCATAAAGGTCGACCTGCATTGCTGTCTTTTTACCTACCGATAAACTACCAAACAACATTGACAGAAAAGCTCAGGTCGAAGATTGTTGCAAATATGGAAAAATGTTGTATGACTGGCCTTATTTAGTTTAATGATCTCTGGACACTTACATGTAACTTTACACAACTTGTGACTGGACAGTGAAAGGAAAAGTAGTAGAGGGACGAGCTCATCTCTAACTCTACTCTTAACTACTGTCAGCATGCTTCTTGCACTGCAGCACAAACTAATTAGCATCTTGTGCTGCTTCTCCCATCCTCACTATGAGCTCTTCTGTACAATGAGGCGTGTTGTGTTCAGCCTATTCAAAATGAATAGGTTGCAACACACACCAAAAAAAAAAGAGGATGCATTTTTTGCTGCCCATGTACTGTAAGGTGTTTTGGGGTGCCATTCAAAATTACTGAAGAGTATGTTACTGCATGCTGTGGTAATATGCAGGTGTTACTGCAACACACATGTAAATGGACTCTTAACAATACAGAACCGCATTCATTTGGGGCTTCAGTATCTGCCTGGAGTAAAGCCTTAAAGTAGAGCTAAAGGCAAAACTTATTTTTTTTATTTTGGATAGAGTAAGAGAAGGTCAGTAACCCCTGTCAGTTTATTTTTTTTTTGCCATCTGTGTCCCATTGGGGAGATTTCCCTTCACTTCCTGTCCCCTAGCCAAAACAGGAAGTGTGAGGAAATCCCTGCAAATTAAGGGAATTCTTAGGGGACCCCCAGGTTATGAGAACTAGTGTCCTCATTGAAAGATTTCCCCACTGTTACTTTCTTTATTTCTTTTGCTTACGCTTTCAATGATGATGGTAAACAGGACAAATGGAGAAGGTGAATCTCTCTAACGGGGGTACAGACAGCAATAAAAACTGACAAGTGTTCTAATCCATCTCCACTATGTCCTAAACTAAAAAAAGTTTTACCTTTAGTTATACTTTAACGCCTGCCCGCCGGGTGTATAGCAGATTGACGGCCGGGTGGGACACTCCTCCTTGTGACTGGGCGTCCTGTCAAAAGGAGCCACTTGCACAGCGGCACAATCTGTCATCGGCTGTGTCCACGGGATACATCGGGCCGTTGCCAGTGTCATGTGACAGCTGTGACCAATCACAGCAGATCACATGTCAATTGTATACAATGGATGGCTTCCTGTCATGCCATCCATTGTATACAATTGTGTTGTTAGCTGTGATTGGTCAAAGAAGTCACACGGTACAGACGGCCAATTACAGCCCATCTGTATCATGTGATGAGCTTTGCCCAATCACAACAAAAGACTGCATCAGTTTCATACAGTAACCATGATTGCAAATATCAATAAAAATACATTGCTATTAGCAATCATAATGTATAAAAAAAATCCTGATCACTTGCCTAGAGTAGTTCAATGTTACTATAGTAACATTGTATTGCTTTGGTCACAGCGTGTTGAAAAAAAAAGAAAAAATAATGTAATAAAAAAATAGAAACATTTGAAAAAAACTTGTAGCAAAAAATTACAACCTCCAAAAAACTCACCATGCCTCTTACTAAATACCTTGGACTGTCTATTTTCCAAAAATGGGTAATTTGGGGGTATTTGTACTATCTTGGCATTTTGGGGCCTCAAAAAAATTAGATGGGCCGTCAGTACATCAGGATTGATGGATTGTCAGAGATAGATAGATATATATATATATATATAGATAGATAGAGAGATTTGTGGACTTTCCTACAGGCTAAATAATATACACTAATTTGTATTATTTTTTCACCAAAGAAATGTAGCATAATACATTTTGACCTAAATTTATGAAGAAATTTTATTTATTTGCAAAATTGTATAACAGAAACAAAGAAAAATGCATTTTTTTCCAAAGTTTCATTTTTTTTTGTTTATTTAGCAAAAAATGAAAATCTCAGTGGTGATTAAATACCACCAAAAGAAAGCTCTATTTGTATGAAAAAAATTATAAAAAATGTTTATGGGTACAGTGTTGCATGACCGCACAATTGTCATTCAAAGTGCGACAACACTAAAAGCTGAAAATTGGCCTGGACAGGAAGGGGGGTAAAAGTGCCCGGTATTGAAGTGGTTAAGCATAAAGTCCTTCCATATGTTGATGTAAAGTCTGCTGTAAACCCCAGAGACCACCTCCTATCTTTCGATTTCACATTAGCATCTCATGTCTTTACATGGCACCTACAACAGCCAGTGTTTACAGTGTCATAAACCACTGCAGTGAATATGTCATCATTAGTCATATTGAGTGTTAGTATGGCATAGCTGCACTTGACAAAATGGGAGACACAAATCAATGTCACTTCTAGGAGATTAATGCTATCGCAACATTCCATTGGTAGTTTATTGTACCTTGTAAAAAAAAAAAAAAAAAAAAAAAAAAACGAGACGTGAAGCCTCTCATTGTCTAATTCAGTGACCAGAGGTTTTGTTGGTGTTCAGCAGGTGACACTGCCTCGCTTGTCATTTTTATCTTTAGCTGGTAAGTTTTAAATGTTCAGGGAGTGTTTGGAAAATTATTAGTAGTAAAATGTACTTGAGATAGAGTCTCCGAGCTTTACCATCAAATAAATTGGTTTGGAACTCACATTACAAAAAAATGAATGTATTCCTTATCTGTATAGAGAATAAATAAAGCTTTTGTGACACATCTTTATTCCTACACATGTATATTGGTGAATAGTAAGCCTGGAGGAGGTGCATAGCAAAGCCTGTGTCACCCCCCTATCATGTACATTAGGGTCATTAGAGGGAATAGCCATGCTAATCACTACATGTTGGACTGAAAGCACTAACTTTTCAGTGCCTCAAAGGGGGTCAATGCCAGGAAGAAGCCAGGGAATCCAATGTGGAAGCCTTGGAATAAAATCTTGGTGATGCAGCCCTCTTCAGAATGGGAAATCATCAAAACTAGAAAAGAAGCTCACAGGTGGCGCAAACACCTAGCGCATTATCCAAGGTTTATTTAAAAATGTGAAATGACAAAAAAAACACAAATTGAAGTGCATGAAAAAGCCTAAAAGCCACAGGGTTGGCCTAAAATGATGGCAGAGTGTCAGACTAATGGTGTGGTCGGCCTGTTGACATGTTTCGGGATGTATTCCCATCCTCAGAGCTGAAGCCGACAAGAGCTGGTGCCTAATTGTGTGTATGTGTATATATATATATATATACACACACACATATATATATATATATATACACACACACACACATATATATATATACATACATACATACATATACAAGTGCTGCCTATAGCAAGAACCCCTCCCCTCAGAGTGGGAGGGGATCATTAAAATAAATAAGTTAAGTGTATAAACTAAAGATACATAAATAATGCAGTATAAAATGTTAGGAATAATAAAAAATAAAACTTTTGTATTTATGTATCATTAGTTTATACACTTCTGTTATTTATTTTAACGATCCTCTCCCACTCTGAGGAGAGGGGTTCTTGCTATAGGCAGCACTTGTTTTATTTACTATATATATATATATATATATATATATATATAAAATATTAGGGCACCAACTCTTTATCGGCTTCAGCTCTAAGGAAGGGGATATGTCCCCAAAACGCATCAACAGGCCGACCGCACCATTAGTCGGACACTCTGCCATCATTTTGGGCCATCCCTGTGGCTTTTAGGCCTTTTCATGCACTTCATTTTGTGTTTTTTTGTCATTTCACATTTTTAAATAAACCTTGGATAATGCGCTAGGTGTTTGCACCACCTGTGAGCTTCTTTTCTAATCACTACATGTTACTTTAGGAAGTCATTGCTTAGTACCCTTTCAGAGCTTTGCAGTCCATCACCACACTTGTGTTAATGTGGAATTTCATGCATAAAGTGTTGTTGTAGGGCGCCCAACACATTAATGCACCTGCAGTGCTCCACATTGTGCGGCATGTTCGAGGTGTGCTGCAGCATGGCTCTAATGGCAGTTATATGGTGACAAAATTCATAAAAAAATAATTATGGAATATGTAACACTAAAATACACAGAGAGCTTGAAATGTACTACTGTATATTAATAGTTTTTCTCTTGTATAAAATGCAGTGACCAAGATGCATTAATGGACTTGGATCAGTTTGGAGGTAATTCCTGATTGGTTGTTTTATGGTTCAAACCTCTGTACACAAGCACTGCATGTTACATTTTTTATCAAAGTGGAGTTCCA